AGAGGCGGTGCTGAGGGCCAGGGTTTGGGGGTGGGATGGCAGGGGTAGGGGAACGGTTGGGTTTAGTGATCTTAAAGGGCTTTTCCAACCTAAACAATTCTGTGATTCTGTGATTTAATTATTAGTCACAATTTGTTTTGCACAGTCAAGTCTGGTTTTGAACATCCTGGGTGAAATCACTACTTAAAAGTTAATACCTGACCTTTATGGATGCAAAAAATTGCTTCCTTCTTTCAGCTCCCTATGCGTTTACTTGCCTTTCAGATGAGATCGTTACCTAATGATTGCGCTCCGTGTCTTTCTCTGGAGACTTCAGCACAGGGAATATTTCCCTTATCAGCATAGCGCAATTGCTATGGAGACGGTCGGTCTGCTGGTGGTGTTGAGGCGTGCTGGGGATTTATAACCTGCTCATGTTCTACTTCTTTCAATCTGTTTTTCCTAGATGTGACGACTTTAATTTCCTTCCCATTTTAGATCATTTTTTTTTATAGAAAAACCTGTATAGGTCCATTCTATATGCCATGTAAACAGGCCTTACAACATGCCGTCTCTATTGTTTTGTCTAAATATCCACACCTCCTCTTCCCCACCATCTGTCCTGCTTTTCTCATTGGCGTTACCCAGCAATACATTCAACATACTATTGATTTCTTGTCTGACCTTCTGAAATAGCATCATTTGGAAGGATATTCTGTCAAAGGAGGCTTTTTACAAATGAAAGTGTGGCAGAAATTTCATCTTGAATATGCAATACAAGATAGATGCATAAACATACTCCATAGCTTTTTCTATACATCTAGAAAATAATATACAAAAAATAGTAGCAGAAAATGGGTGTGCCCACTTCTCACTGAAGCAGGATTTCAGCAGCCCTGTATCCTAGCGCACAATTTGGTCTCTGTGTTACAGGTAGGACGATGTTCTCATCCAAGCATCTCTGTCAAATTTAAGCTTCCCTCCTCCTTTCACCTGTATTAGTCTGCCATACAAAGCTTCTGAGTTAAGTGAAATACCATAATGAAATTAAAATCTAAAGATTCATTTTGGGAGGCTCCCAATGGATTCTCCGCAGCCTGCGGAGCGTTGCCATCTGTGCAAGGTCCCATGGTCTGACCAAGCCCACTTTTCCTGGTCTGCTCCAGTGAAAGGTAACAATGAAAAATCAATTTACATTTTTCTCATTAACAATGTAAAAAATCATCAAGCCATTAGCAAGAGGGCAAAAAGTATTGTGAGTGTAGTGCTTTTATAGAGGTTATGGTGCTTGATTTCAAGTTGCTCTTTTTCATTCTGTAAGCTTGAAAAAATTATCTTCTCTGTTAGTTGGTCGTGCTCTTTCATGCCCCGTTTTGTTTTGCTTTGGGGCCTGAATTAGCCTGCATTTTTGTTTTTTGATATATTTTTCCTGTTTACTTGTTTCCCTGCCAGTAAGATAAATAGTGCCTACACTGTTTTGGCAAGAGGAATGGCTCGGAAAGCTTTATGGGGCTAAAATATTGTAGCTTTTCATAGAAGTGGAAAAAACCAGTTGTGCAGAAGGGTTGGATGCAACCTTCCTGCACCTGGAGCGACGTGTGCAGCATTCAGTAGCTCGCAGAGTCTCTCACCAGACTCTAATGAGAGTAGATTCAATTTCTGGCATGAGCGCCTCGCCTGTCCCTCTTCGCTGAGCTGCAGCAGGCTGGTAATTGCAATGCACCGGCGTTACCAAAGAAAATATTCCTCGGAGAAAATGATTCTGAAAGAAAATGTGTGGGGAGAACATCCTATCTGGCATGCATAGGCAACATGTGAAAATTGGTCCATGCTCTTTAATTTTAGATGTGACAAGGCAGGAGGTGAATATAATTTTAAATGCAGCTGTCTTGCTTGTTGCCCTGGTGCGCTAGCAGTTCATTATGAGGGAGGGAGAGTTGATAAGGCAGTGTCCTCATTTCAGCTGAGATAGAGTTAATTTTCTTCTTGGAAATCTGGAGAGGAAGAAGCATTTAATTGCCAGTAAGCTTTAGCCCAAAAGTCGGATTTTTTTTCCTCCTTATTTACACTTCTGCTAATCCGTGGAGCTAATCCCATCTATAAAAGGGCTTGAGTGAAAGGGGAGCCAGGAGTTCAGTGCTTTTAATGGCAGCCACTTGAACTGTTGCTGCATTTTACCTGTTGGTGTTTCTAACCGTGGAGAATGAAGGGCCATCCTTCCACACCCAGCTTGGCCTGTCGTTTGTAGTTACCTGCCTTGCATAGCTGGATATGGCCCTTCTTTCCTTTGCTGAGTCCCTCTTGGCAACTGTGAAGGACCATCCTAGGATGTCCATGGTTTTGGGCAACCTGCTCTCTTGGGTTGTAATGACCACGGATTATGTGCCTGCAGGAGAAGCTGTGCCTGAAGATGAACAAATCAGTGCAAAGGACCAGAAGAACCTGGAGCCTTGTGATAACACCCCGATTATTGACAACATCACACCGGTTGTTGCCAGCATCTCGACGGAGGAGAAACAGAAATATGATGATGAGATTGCCAGTCTCTACAGACAGCTGGATGATAAGGTGTGAACATTTGGTTTGACTCCATTCTCTGGGTGTAAACAGAAAACTAAGCCAAAGTGGGTAGAGGTGTCTGTATTTCTTGAGCACCATGAACTGGAAAACGTCCCGAAGTTCAAAACACTACCATTGCATAAAACCAGATCTTGTCCTACTGTGTCAGCTCTCTGCGGATAGTGTTTGTGGGCATTCTCCATGAAATCGGAGCCAAGTTCGCCTTCCATTTTAAGGGCTCCATACAGGCTTTTCAGCCCTCGTTTTCTTCCGTGATTTTTGTAAATACTGTACTCCCTTAGGAAACTGCAACGTCATTTCAGAGTCACAGGAGAAGGAAGAAAAAGGGAGGCTGTGTCTTGATATTTTTTTATACATTTATTGTATACTGGAATTTTAAGGAAAATATATAACCATCCCTTGGGTCTCTTCTGTTCATGTTGTTCTAGCTGTGAATGCTGTGCCTGGAGTGCAGGTGGCTTTTTTTTTTTTTTTTTTTTTTTTTTTTTTTTGCACAGCTTGAAATACATCATTGGCACTTAAAGCTATCAGCAATACATTTACTGAGCACTTGCCATTAACAGCTTTGGCTATTGGATGTGAAGATAAGAAGTGCTGGGAAAACAAGGCATACTAAAACGATTGACCATTATGGATGGGAACAGCTTAAAAGGCTATCTAGTGAAAGTTTGCAGGATAGCTTTAATCTTGAATCAAAACTTCATTTTAACTTTCAATAGTAATTAGCAAGAAAATATCAAAAAAACCCCTGCTGTTTCCTGGTATGTTAATATTAAAGTTTGGCTGTTTCTGAACACCAAGGGAGTGGATGGTTGTGTTTAAGCCTTAACTGATGTGCATGAGGTGTCTCTGCACAGTCTGGTTGCACGCAGCAGTATGTTGATGGCATTCAAAATAACAGTTAAGGTCTTTAAGAAATTACAGCTTTTCTGTGCTGGAGAATACTTTCCCAGTAACAGTCTCTGGCTTTTACGTATTGTTTAGAAAAAGAAAAGAAGTCAGTCATTCCTTCACTTTCCCTCATCAAAACCAGTAAAGCCCATTGAATAATTTTTGAGGGATCTGGCAGCAGGTTTGAGTTTTACCCTAGAAAACATGGGAAATATAATCTGGTGCATTACTGCAGTACTGTAGGAAATGAGAAGGTATTGAATCACCAAACCAAAACCAAAATATCACCGTTTATAACTTGTTACAGTATAGACCATTCTTATGTTACATCTGGGACTATTTTAATATTAGCAAATTATTCAATATATTTTACTTGACAGCCATCAGAAATCTATTAGCGTGCTTGTCAGTGAAACACAAAGAATCAGTTGACTGATAGGGTAAAAAGCAACGATTTCTCTTCAGTGGGTTCCTTTAGAGAAGGATGTCCGTCACAAGAACAGAGACAGACTTGGTCTGGGGCTGTGCTTGGTGTGCCTCCTGTGGCATTTTGGAGGAAGGACTTTTACAGTGGAGTCCATCACCTTTTCTCTTCTGTATTTAAGATCAGTTCCTACCCATGAGGATGCTGTCTTAACAAAGAAGTTGAAATACCAGTAAAATTGGGTGCCTGGCTATGCATTACCTGGTGGTATTTTCTTCAAGGGCTGTAATGGAGTAGGAAAACACAAATTTGGCTGTCGAAGGGTCCAAGTTGTGCATTGTGGTCTGAGCTTCCATTAATGAGCTTTCATTAATGCAGTTTGGAGCTAGCTGTAAATTGTAGTTGGTTCATAAATCTGTCTCTAATGATCTCTCTTCAGCTGAAATTTGGGGACAGAGTGAGAGAGAGAGAGAGAATGTTTGTACATCTATAAAACATCACCTATGTTGGCAAAAAGTCTCCTGCAAGTTGTAAGGTGCAACTCTGACTGCATCAGTGTCTTCTTTACCATCAGGGACACCTTTGCTTAGGTATATCCTAGAGACAACTCCCTGTGCACATTGCTTTTACTGTGTATATACATATTTTTCTCTTCTCTCATACCACAAACGTGAACGAGGTTTGCAATGGCATTATTCTTTCTTCTTTTCTAGAAAGGGGAAATAAAAGTGACCAAACGAGAACTGTAAAAAGAAACTAAAAATCTCCCACCTTATTTCATTGCAGGATGATGAAATCAACCAGCAGAGCCAGTTGGCTGAAAAACTAAAGCAACAAATGTTGGATCAAGAGGAGGTAAAAAACCTAAACAAATCAAAAGAACCCTTACATTTTGCTTATGAGACCCTTGTTTACTAATTCTGCCAGAGTTGTTGGCTAGGTATGTTTGTATTAACTGGCTAAAATTCAGTAGGTAAGAGAAACCCATGTGACAGCTAGGTTTAGACTTCAAATTTCATAATCTCCTCAGAAGAACATTAAGCCCTGATAACTCCTTGTAATAGCACACTGTCCTGATGGGAAGTGATGCTGGAAATACCAAGGTTGGAGCATGGCCAGTATTTTTCACTTCAAATGTGTTTTTCAATACATCTGTATCCTTTCAGGTATCCAGACACTACAGACTGTAGGTAGTTAACAGATTTCCTAGTTTGACAGTATAAAAATTACTCCTTGTAATAAATTACTGATGTTCATTATTTTGACATGGGCAATTAGAGGCAGTACTGAGAGAAATCTGTGAGACTGAAAAATTGATTATTGGTGCTGCCACAGATTTGCTTTAAAACCTTGGACTACTCACTTTAAATATTTTATTTCATTGCTTCTGTCCATAAAATGAATGTTTGTTATTTTTAAGATGGCGAATACGATCACTAAACTTACAGTCACTTCCTTACCTATCATTTGTTTACAAGAGGTTTTGAAGATGTAAAATCTGGCAACAACAGCAAATTACCAAGTTCCCCAAACGTTGCTGTGGTATTTCTTAGAAGATGGTTTTATGCTGGTTTTCAAACTGTGGTAAACTGGAGGAGGACTATTCAGACCAAGAATATAATCCTGGTGTGGGACTTCACGTGTCATTAGTGTTCCAAATGTTGGTCCCTCTTTGCACAAAACAGTGCCGTGATTCCCTAGGAGCATGCCACTCCCAGCTACCCAAGCCACTTCAGCTGGAGTACCGCATTATGCTGGCTGCTTTTTTTTGGGTGTGAGACCTCTCTTGTAATTGAAAAATGATTCTGTCCCTGCCTTAATCCTTAATCAAGCCCTCAGAAAGGGTTTCCAAGGTTTGGCTCCTTAGCAGGGAGAGAACAGTGTTTGGAAATGTCTGTTACTCATCACTCATGACTTACCTGCCACCTTTGGGGTCTTATCCTCACTGAGGGAACGACCACCTTTATTTTACTCCACGATTAATCTCTTCACTCGCTTGCCACAACTCTCTTTTGTTTACTCCGTGTTATGTGCTACTCATATCCATGGCTATACAAATGTAAAAGAATTTTATGCATTCTCAGCAACATTATTTTCTGATGCATGTTATTGACTCCATCTCACTTCCCCCATCTTTTCTACATCGGTGTTCTCATCTAAAGCTTATTTTTCCCTCACGGTTTTTCCTGTGTCTTATTTTTGGGGTGATGTGCGCTCCTTTCTTTGTGTTTGATATTTGGGAGCATGCTGTACGCTGGCTTATTCCCCACCCTCTTTGTGTTCCATACTCAATATTACATCTGGAAGGTGAATCAAGTTTTCAGTGGCCTCTAATCCTTGCCTTACAGACCACTTTTCCCCTGTTTTTTGCACAAGTTCTAGTCTAGCTTTGCTGACTTACTGAAGTCTCTGCAGCTGATGTTGCACCAGTTGCTCAGAAGGTTTAGCTGCTTCATCTGATAAGCTTGGCCATCTCTTGAAAGCTAATGCGATATTTTTGTTTTCTTCTTTAGAGGAGTTGAATTAATTTTTCAAGGTTTTGCCTTCCACACGTAAGCTTCACCTGCACTGCGGGAGCAATCTACCTGTTCCGTCTTGGAGCCTGTGATTAGCTCGGTGATAGATGTGCTGCAGAGCAGCTGCCTCGCTCTTGTTTCCCCCTAATTAACCGCGGTACTTTTTTCTGCTTGATTAAGCTAGCAGGTTAATTATAAATCTAAGGCCTGCCACAGATGGCATCGTGCTGATGCTGGTATCTTTTGGTACCTTTTCACCACTGGCTGTTTCTTAGGGTGTGTGGTTTTGGGGGGATTCTGAATCTTCCACCCTTGCATCTTGCATGCTGTGGGCAGATCCACGAAGCGCTGCACCCATCGTCTCCTTCCCTTTGTTTACAAGTGATCGGTATAATGTGTTATTAATAGCCTTTTAAAATCTTGGTATATTTTTCCACATTATATCAACAAGAATCTTCTGGGGAGCTGTGTTTATGCTGTAGGTGATACATAACACTTCCCTTTACTTGAAGTCGCAGTAATACTCACACAGAAATTTTCTTAAGTAAATGTAAATAATAGTTCCATCTGTGTTTAGTAGAAAGATTATTTTAAGCTATTTTGTTGTTTAAATATTTACATGCCATCTGGCTTTGGCAATTCAGTGGGTTTTTCCGTAACGTGAGTGCACTTCTGAGGCTGCAGCATTACCAGTGAGATAAATTTCCCTTACATCTGAATCCTCTCTTTGCCACTTTGGGCACGTGCCAGTGTCTGAAGCTGCTTGGTTGGTTTCCTATTTCCCATTAGCACTCTGAGCCAAAAAAAGCAGCGTCTTCTCTGACATTTCTGCTTTTAGGTGGTCTGTTTTAGAGAGATGTTTCTGTTTCGCTTGGGCTCTCACACTCAACTTCTTCATGGCCTGGGAGCCAGTGGGCAGTGGTGGGACAGGTCAGGAGAAGGCCACCCAGCACACCTCAGTAGTGCGGATTTTGTTCTACTGTCCAAGAGAGCTGCAGTACAGTAATATTATACTAATCTGTACACTGGAAGGCTTGGAAATAAGTGAGTTTTGTGAATGAGTGTCCAGTATTTGCTGTTAGGGTGAGCTGTGAGCATGAATGCCTTCTTGTATCTCATGCGTTAAATTTTACATGTTACCGTTTTTATGCTATGTAAGGCCTGATTTTGTTATTATTCTCAGAAGTCCATTATTAGCAATATGCTAGGTGGCACCTTTTATTTATTTTCACATCATTCTGTAGTATATTACTGCTGTTGAGTCTGTTTTGGTGCTAAGCACCTGATAGCTGAATTTTCGAGGCTTTAACATCTGGATGCAGACGGAGAGGTGCAAGGGCAAGGGAGAGGACCACGCAACCGACTTCTTACAATCAGCACTGTCACTGAAACTTCAGCATCTCTCCTAGTAGTAGACAAAGAGTAAATTTAGTAAGTTTTACCAATTGGAAATACTCACTAGTATGTGTGAAGTCTGTATTTTCTTCTTTAGTTAATATTTTGCCTCAGCAAATACAAGCAGCTCATCTATCTTCAGCATCATGCTTCAGATGATAACTTAAGAATAATCATCAGAGGTTTGCTTATCAAAATATTCCTCTAATGCCACAAGATCTTTGGGGCTGCCTCAGAGAGCCTTTTTACTTGGTTCAGTTCAAAGCTGTGATTCTGTGTTTAAACATTTTACTTTGTGGTATTTTTTTGGTCCTAGCTGCAGCATTGGATCGAGGGCAGAAAATTTTATTTGGAGCTGTGATCCTGTTTAAAATAAGTTGCTCTGCCTCAATCTTGTGTCATAATAGGATTTGATTAAGATTTTTTTTCTTTTCCTTGAAGTTCAGAAGGAACTTTCTTTTCCTTGAAGCCTCTTTTGCTTCCTTCAAATACATTTATGCTGAAACTGATGCTGTTTCTGGTAGAGTAGCAGGATTTCTTCCCTCCTGCTTTCTCTCTCACACGCACACTTGTGTACTCATGCTTGCTTTCTCTCTTTGTCTGTTCTTGCCCTTTTCAATGCTGTCTTTGAATGAGTTCTTGGGTGACTTAACATTTCTGTGATACCTGGTTTCCAGCTTTTGGCCTCCACTAGGAGAGATTATGAGAAGATTCAAGAGGAGCTGACCCGTCTTCAGATTGAGAATGAAGCAGCAAAAGATGAAGTGAAAGAGGTCCTTCAAGCCCTGGAAGAATTAGCTGTCAATTATGACCAGAAATCCCAAGAAGTGGAGGACAAAACAAGAGCCAACGAGCAGCTGGCTGACGAGCTGGCACAGAAGAGTGTAAGAGCAAGAGGTTTATAGTGCCGGTTCCCTTCTCGCCCCCTAACTCTGCACCTCCCCTAAAGATTTCCATAGGGGGTCCCAGAAAACTGCTAGCCTGTGCCATTTCAGGAATCTTTCAGATACTGCTGCCAAGTACGTTGTTAGGTAGTTTAAAAATTGGAGTAGCAGGGAAGCTGTTAAAAGATCCATATTTGCCAATGCTACCCTCTCTCTTCTATCTTAATTAAACCATAAAGTTAAGGTAATTCCAGAACTGCTCTATGGAAGCTGATGGCAGGTTGTGGCTCTGTTGCAACCTCTGTATTTTGCACAGCATAGAGGCAAGTGAACCGAATGTGTGAACTGGCCGTTCTGTATTTTGGTTATTTGAAAACTGTGTTATGCCAAGAAAGATGTGAAAATCTGCTTCGCGCAAATTGCAGCATTTTGTATTTTTCTGGACTCTGTGCTGTGGAGCAGGAATTTTGTACAGAGTCAGGAGATATCAAGGAAAGAATCAAAAAATCCAGCTTCTTCAGCTGATGTGTACTGATCTTAAGGAAAAAAATGTTCTGAGAAAATCAAGATTACTAGCTTAATTCATCCTTGGTCCTTAATTCATTGCACAGACTGAAGAAGCTGTTGTTAACAGGTCTGTTTTCATGGAAGACTTTGTTATCCACTCGAGTAAAACAGATTACTGCAAAATCCATTTGAAAAAAATTGAGTTTTATATCCTTCTATACCTGTTTCCCTGTGATTAACCTTCTTTGACATGTATTATGCAAATAAGATTCTTACTGGATTTACTACATTTAATAGATCTAAAGTAGCCTTGTTAGCAAGTGAGTTGTGAAAGTGGATTATGGCAAGGTGGAATTGTGCGTGTCAGTGCGTTGATCCAGTAGGCACGTTCAGGAAAATACAAGATGATACCGTGTAACCTAGATAGCAGAGAAGAACCGATGCCGAGTCTGTGGAGGGGAGGGTAACTTTTGCTTTTACACCTTTTCAGAGTGCCCTGACAGCAACCCAGAGGGAGCTGGGCCAGCTGCAGGAGCTCAGTAACCATCAGAAGAAGAGAGCTACAGAAATCTTGAACTTGCTGCTTAAGGACCTGGGAGAGATTGGAGGAATCATTGGTACTAATGATGTTAAAACAGTAAGTTGGCTATCTTTATAGCTTGTCCCCCACACCTCCCGCAATATAAAAATACTCGATGTGGAATATGTGTGATATAGCAGTCTTTCTCCCAGGACGCTGCCGCTTGAATCCTGGCTAGAGCACAGAATAAAATAGTGAAGAGATCTTTGTCTGGGTCAGAGCTGGTCAGTGTCTGTGCACACAATTACCACTTTTATTCCCAGCTCAGTGTTTGGGGCCAGACTAACGCAGCCCATCTGTGTGTTGATACATTTATTAATGGGGGGAATGAGTTCTCTCCAAAACAATACACACATAGCCCTACTCTTTCGTTAGCTTGCATGACTCAGTGCTCCCAGAATCCGAAGAATCTTCGTTGGTGAAATTTGGCTTCTGGGTGGCTACCTTCTTGTTTGAAGTTTGTCCTAAAACTGCTGTGTGGCTGAAGGTGAATGGTTTGCAAAGCCAGAGGTCTGGGAAATCTTCCTGGTGATGCTAATGACATCTTATCTGTCCATTTAAAACCATGTGAAAAAGAGCAATTGCTAAAAGTGGATAAGAAATTAATTTTCAAGGTGTATGTAAATTCATAGAATCACAGAATGGTTTGGGTTGGAAGGGACCCCCAGAGGTCACCCAGCCCAACCCCCCTGCAGGAGCAGGGACACCTTGAACCACATCAGGTTGCTCACAGCCCCGGCCAACCTGGCCTGGAATGTTCCCAGGGATGGGGCCTCCACCCCCTCTCTGGGCAACCCCTGCCAGGGTTTCACCACCCTCACTGGAAAGAATTTCTTCCTTAGATCCAGCCTAAACCTCCCCTGCTTCAGTTTAAAACCATCCCCCTTTGTCCTGTCCCAGCTGGCCCTACCTTTCCTCTGGGTCCCCTTTAAGCCCTGACCGGCCGCACTCAGCTCTGCCCGCAGCCTTCTCTTCTCCAGGTTGAACACCCCCAACTCTCTCAGCCTGGCCTCGTAAGAGAGGTGCTCCAGCCCTCAGATCATTTTAGATTCCTTAAATTCCTTGCAACGCACTCAATTTTCTTGCTTTTAGGTCACTTCTGAGTTTTTTGAGCAATGAACTTTCCTGAACATTCAAAGCCAAAAGGCTGGAGTGGTTTGAGTTGACTGTGAGAGTTGTTGATATCCTGCTAAAGCTCCCTTAGATCAACAGATGCTTCAGCCCGCTCTTACTGCAGAGGACACGATCCCTGTTGTCTGGTGTGGTTATGCAGATGCCAGGACCACAAGACCAGACTTTGCTAAATGCTGCAGCAACCTCTGGTGGCTGTTGTAATAGGAACTATAAGAGGAAGTCTTTGAAAATGGAGGCAGAGGCTGTTTGATACAAATTTTTATAGTAACTAAGATGTCAGCATTTTACAGGACAGCTGTCAGTGTAAATAAGGCCAGATAGAGAAGCTTTTAGAAGAATAATTTCAAGCTTGTTGGCAATTAGCATCTTCCGAAAGCATGTCTAATTTCAGACCAGACTGAGAGTTTTGGAAGCAGTCACATTTTTTAGGCTGTTGAGAGAAGGTACAGCGTGTGTTACCTTCCCTTTGGGGGTGCAAAAGCAGATGAAGTTGCTACCCATGTGCTTGTCAATGAGAACCTTCACAGCTCGTCAGTGGGTTACATGAATTAAGTAGTTGAAGAAAAATCATGAAGAGAAAGACATACAAATAAAAGGCACCACGTTAAAACCAAGGAAGGAAATTATGTATAAATAGAATGATACTAATATTTAGAGATGAGAGCGATTACTTTTCTCTTGCCAGGTGAGATTTCCAGACCTGTGTCTGTCTTACAGCTCCTCACTGAAGAAGCACAACCCTTCAAGAGGAGACTTCTTTAAGAAGTACTTTGAAAAGCTCTTCAGCTTTTAGCAGTTTGAAAGAAGGAAAATTTCCTGTGCTGGTGACATGAGAAGGTTTCTCCAGAATATGCTCTTGCCCTGATGGCGGGTTTAATTACTTTAGATGTTGAACCACTAAATTGATGAAGCATGCTGTGAGCGTAAGCCTTAATTTCTAACTTTTGAGGCTTATCAGTGAAGATTGTTAAACCACAACACCTTGAGGGTGGGTTAAACCACAACACCTTGAGGGCTGCTGTGCTTTTCACAGGGGCTTCCTGGCTCTAGAAGAGAGTTTGACAGCAGGAAGACTGGTTTGCGTTGACTTGCCTGTAAGAACCACACCCTTGAGATTGCAATCTTCTGTGTGTTTAGTTAGCAGATGTGAACGGGGTGATTGAGGAGGAGTTCACCATGGCACGGCTTTACATCAGCAAGATGAAGTCTGAGGTGAAGTCTCTGGTGAACCGCAGCAAGCAGCTGGAGAGCGCCCAGATAGACTCCAACAGGAAGATGAACGCCAGCGAGAGGGAGCTTGCAGCTTGCCAGCTCCTCATTTCACAGGTACGTTTGTTCCTTCCTTGTCTCTTTGCAGCAAGGTCTGATGACTTTCTCAGCCTCCTTCCTCGTGAAATGTGTATGCTAGGAGCAAAAAATGAGACTTAAGGGAGCTGAGTGGTATTTCTCTTGTCTGTTTTGTTGCTTCTTCTCTCTTCTCCCATTCCTCTGCCTCAGTGTTTTTCAGCACATTTTGTGGCAAGATTGTGCTCTGCTGTAGACCTCAAAATGCGTTCTGTGGCATAATACTGAAAATCCTCCTTGGAATGATTTCCTCAGCATAAATTTGTATCTCGTACCTTCACTTTAAAAGCAACCTGAGAAAGGAAGCAGTGATTCTGTGGTTCACTAGCAAAGCATTCAGAAAGCCCTCATATCTGGTCTGTTAGTATGCTACCAAGATAACTAGGCAGTGACAAAATAATATGTCATTATTATTTTATATATATTAAAACTTTGCTATATAAGACAGAAATCCAGGTGGAAGGAGGGCTTCACAGTGGGTGGCAGTTACAAGCAGAGATGCTTGCTGCAGCCTGCTGCAGGAGAGGGGGCTAACTGCTTTGACATGCTCAGCTGCTTTCAAGTGAACATGTGAAGGGGAGGAGATGACATACAATAAACTGTATTTTATTTGTTGCCAGTTAGTCTAAGAAAACCTGGAGCAAGGACAGCCTCTTTTCCTGCCGCAGAATGTCTTTATTAAGTTCTACTTCATAAAGCTGTAGCTGGAAGCGTGCTTCTTAGTATTACAGGGAGGCTGGAGTCCTAAGGGTATTGGCTGTCCAAAAATGTAAAGTAAAAATTACACTTTTCATCGTGTCTTGAAGTAGGCCTTGGGCTGGCATCGCCACCGAAGGACATCATCCTGCCACCCTGCGCTGCTCCCTTTCCTTGGGAACTTGGCATTAGTAAAGCAGAGTAAGGCTCGACTCGCAAAGCATCTGTATGCATGCTTCTGCTGGCAGGAGAGGAGCAGGAACACAGAGCTGGGAATAAAGGTCTCAGCAGCTGGTGGTGCGACGGTCTCCTTCAGCCGTCGTGCTAGCTTACGCTGACCAGGTGAAGGAGTGAGCAGAAGGCAGCCCGGCTGCCTCCATGGGTGGTGGGATGTCAGGGTTAGGTTAAAGGTTGGACTCGATGATCTCAAAGGTCTTTTCCAACCAAAGCGATTCTATGATTCTATGATTTATTAAGTTCTACTTCATAAAGCTGTAGCTGGAAGCGTGCTTCTTAGTATTACAGGGAGGCTGGAGTCCTAAGGGTATTGGCTGTCCAAAAATGTAAAGTAAAAATTACACTTTTCATCGTGTCTTGAAGTAGGCCTTGGGCTGGCATCGCCACCGAAGGACATCATCCTGCCACCCTGCGCTGCTCCCTTTCCTTGGGAACTTGGCATTAGTAAAGCAGAGTAAGGCTCGACTCGCAAAGCATCTGTATGCATGCTTCTGCTGGCAGGAGAGGAGCAGGAACACAGAGCTGGGAATAAAGGTCTCAGCAGCTGGTGGTGCGACGGTCTCCTTCAGCCGTCGTGCTAGCTTACGCTGACCAGGTGAAGGAGTGAGCAGAAGGCAGCCCGGCTGCCTCCATGGGGGTGGTGTTTGTCCTCTTGCGCTGTAGTTGCACTGGGATCACAGAGAGCTCAGAGCTTGTCACAAGCTGTTTGTTTAACACCAAGTCATGAGCTTCCCGTGATGTTTTCGAATTGCCACCTCTGCTGTTCAGTATATGTCTTGGGGTACTAAGTGTGGCCTTTAAAAATGTGGTCTGTTTTTGTCTGTTAGCTCCTTCTCAGATCTTTTGCTGTATCTTCTAGTCATCAGCTCTAGTGGACAGTTTTCTATTTGCCCTCCTTTATGTAGGACACTACCTGAATTCCTAGGTAAGGAGCTGTGGTACTCACATCTCATTGCTATTCCCCTTGTCTTTAAAGCATGAAGCAAAGATCAAGTCCCTTACAGACTACATGCAAAATATGGAGCAGAAGAGAAGGCAGCTGGAAGAGTCACAGGACTCTCTCAATGAAGAACTTGCCAAGTTACGTGCTCAAGGTACAACATTGGGTCTTGTGGTCATCATTTCTTTTACCAACTATATCTTAGAAAATTGAGTATTGGCTGAAGCATTGTATGTAGAGTAGGAGCTGGGTTTTTTTTAAAAGGCTGGATGTAGCACGTGCTGGAACTGTGTGGTTAATTCTCAACCGTCTCCAACTTTAAACAGAAAAAATGCACGAAGTCAGTTTCAAGGATAAGGAGAAGGAGCATCTGACCCGGCTTCAGGACGCAGAGGAGATGAAGGTAGTATGGCGCACAGCAGTTTTGGAGGGCATTTCTCAGTGAGCTTGTTCATTAAGCTGATAATTAGGGTGTAATTTTGTCTTGTGGTACATAGCATGTGCCTTTAGAAAACACTTTCAGCCTCTGTCAGAATTGCCAGCCTCTGTTAGAAAACCTGACCTCATGTAATTGAGCAACCTTTGCAGTGTGAAATTAGAGAACTTACTCGTATTGAGGTTGTTGACCAGATGATGGAAAAAAGTAAATTGTAGTCTGAACATCTGAGGTGAGTGCATCTTCTGAGGCCACCAGTTTGTAAGCCGAGCCAACTTCAAAGAGTAGAGAGGTCCAGTGGACTGTGTTTGCTGAATCAGAGACGCCTGGGTTCCTCAAGTCACGCAAACAGAGAACCAAAATATAAGACCTGGTATATTGCGTCCATAGTTGGGAAGTTTTGTTACATATGATTGAAAAATGATATTGATTCACCTCTATGTTACTCTAATTTTTTGCCGGTGGGTGTCTGCTGAAAATCAATTTGCTAAGTAGTGAATTGGGCTACTGGGTTTAATGTAATTTAGGTACTAAAAAATTTGATTAAAAAAGAGGCCACTTTCCCAAATAATTTGGCAAGAATTCTGACTATCTCCTAGAAATAATAATGAAATATAAACCTGTTTTCTGGTATTGTCTTCTTCCTTTGGAATGCAAAGAAATGTTAGGCAATGATGTTGCATAGGGTTGTGTTTCTGATGGGGTTGCAAATTGCAGAAAAGGAAAAACACAGTTTTACAAGGGTAGTGATAGAGGTTTGTCAGCTTCAGAACTTTTACCTCTGTTATAAAAAGTTAAAGTTATTAAAACAGTTGTACAGTTATTCCTTACAGTTGGAAGAAAAACCCCAAGTCTTTTATTAGCAATCTGAAGAGCTGCATTGAGTTTTTCTTGAGATACATCTAATCCTAGAATTTAAATAACAGGGCTGTGGGTAAACAGTTCTCAGAGAGGGGGAGAGTGTTTCGGGTTCTCCTTCTGTCACAGGTATAGCTGTACGCATATTTTCTTGGTGAATAAACATGTGAAATAACAGAGGACTGGTAAAAACAGTGTCATTCTTGGCACTTGATATGCTAAGACCCTGGCTTTCACATGCGGTAATTTTTGCAAGAAAATGAGTAGAAATTGGTACATCTGTTGTTAAAAACTGTCTGAATTAAACGCTTGGATGAGTAGATGCATAGTTTTGTAATCGTGGAAAGATCTCCCAGGCAGATTCCTGAATTTGATTTGATTTGATCAGCTTCACTCAAATCCAGAAAGATAGGTTGATTTAGCTGGCATGTAAGAAGGAAGCTTAGCTGTGTGTTACTTGATTTCTGCTTCACGTGTGGCTCTGGTTTTTGCACTCTGCAGAAGGCACTGGAGCAGCAGATGGAGAGTCACAGGGAAGCCCACCAGAAGCAGCTGTCCAGGCTGAGGGATGAGATTGAAGAGAAGCAGAAAATAATTGATGAAATCAGAGAGTATGTTCACTCGCTCCATCACTTTCCCTGCTCCTGTCCTGTTCTGTGGCACTGTAGGGGCGTTTTGGGGTTGGGTTTGTTAGTTTTATTTGATGTCTATATGTTTTGGTGTCTTACAGAAAGTAGTGTCCTTACACGGAACAGCCAACCCTCTAATTATTTTGCATGGTGGATTATAGTGCCTAGTTCTTTATTGTGGAGCTTTAACAAGCCCATAAAATTATAGAGAGGAAAAAGAAAGAATAATGTTACACCTGCAGGTCAGTAGGTAAGAGAAGCTTGGAGGAGAACGGATTTTAAAAGTTAAAAGTTTTGAGGGCCTCTTAAGGCAACTGGTCCTGCCACAGATTTTCTGAGAGTCTGGGTGACTCAAATGTGTCCCATTTTCACACCCTTAATGTTTCTTCCTGACACAGCAATGTAACGCTGTTAGTCAGATACTCCAGCACTTGAAAAACTGAGGTTTTTGCTTCTGTACTCTTCTTTTTGTCAGCGTTCATAAAATCTAGGCAATCCTGATATGGTGTTCATTCTTCCATCACACTTATTGTGTGGCCAAAATCTAGTAATAGGGAAATGAGAAACACAAGGAAGCGGGACAGAAAGACTGCAAGAACAGTTTGTGTCCTTTAAGATAAAGGAAGCAAGCCACTGAATTTAATTCTCCAATATTTTTAAATATTGTTCTTTATGCTTTGTTTCTTTCAGAATTTTTCAGGAGAGAGTTATGGCTTTACTTTCTCTGTCTAACCCCATTTTGTTTATGGAGATTTTCCCACCCTTGTTTATGGGGTTCAGGACTGAGCTGTACTGACTTTCTCTTTCGCATTCCAGTATGAATCAGAAGCTGCAACTGGAACAAGAGAAACTGAGTGCTGATTATGATAAATTAAAAATTGAGGACCAGGAAAGAGAAATGAAACTGGAAAAGCTCATGTAAGTCAACAGTTTTCTCATCTGGTGTCCTTGAACATAGTGTCTTTTACTGTGTCCACAGGAAACGTCCTAGTGAGAAGCATTTGTGTTGAAAAATTCACGCTGAAAGCATCATTTCAGTAACAAAGCCAAGATGCAGTACTAATAAATGATTACAAATTACTCTTTATTTTTATATCATAGGTTTTTTAGTGGTGGATTTGATACTCGCCAAAAAAGATTTTTTTTTTTTTTAGAGCTCTGATTTTATGAGATAACATACCAAGTGTTAAATCCCTCATTCCTTAATGCACAGCAAAAACAAGCAGGAAAGAAGTTGGGGTTTTTGGGTGGGGGGTGTTTTGGTTTTTAAGTAATAAATCAGACATCTGAGTAAAAGCTTTTCCTGGAAATGAGAGTTAAAAATGTCATGTGTGGACACGAAAAATGGAGATGGTGGCTCAGCCATTCCATGTGAGAAAGCTGCAGATTTGGGACAGTCGGAAGTGTAATTACAGAGGCAGAGAGATGTACAATTTGCTCACATCTGCAGATGTTCTACTCAAACTGAATGTTGATTGATTCTCTTCTGTCTTGCATGACTTCAAGATTTTTGATTTGTGTTTAATGTTGTGATCTTTCTAGACTGCTTAATGATAAAAGGGAACAAGCAAGAGAAGATCTTAAGGGGCTGGAGGAAACAGTGGTATGTCTTAATTACACTTTATTCAGCTTTTTTCCCCCTAGGTCTTCCTCACTGATGTATTACCAAAACACTTGTATCTGTGCCCAATAAAATGACCAATTTATATCATCATAGGCTCAATTTGTGCATTTTGCCAAATCATGAAGTTGAATTTTAAAATCTAAGATGAAACACTATGATTGTTGCTTCCTGTGAATAAGCTGTCGCTGTTAAGTCTGCTGGTACTCTGTTTCACTGTCCTTGTTCCTTAAAATCACCTGAAAAAACTAGCGTACTGAACAGCGTAGCTACAGTTAGGTGATGCATACCTGCCTCTAACCTGACCAGTGTAACAGCTTACAAAGAAACATGGTATTGTGCATGCAATGTTAAAAATGCAATCTATGATGGATGGCTTCAGGCTGGAAGCTGTTGCTGCACATTTTGTTGGAAGGTACGTTTTATCGGTCTGTAAAATATGCAAGCTTTCTCAAAGATCTCAGAAGTTGGTCAAAACCACAGCTGTTTTCGGAGCATCATATAGTGATTTTTGCTAGTGTTAATGTGGTTATTAATTCAAACCCAGGATTTTCTCCTCTGTGTGATGCTTTAAAAATTAAGCTTATAGTGGCCTCGGGATCAGTTGGAGTTCATTACTGAAGCTGAACTATTTGGGTGCTTTCAGGTTTGGCACCTGGTGGCTCCCCAGACAGAAGCCTTAAACTCGTGAACTCATGCAAGGGACAGATGTAACCAACCTTTCTGATATGACTGTGCTCGTCAGAGACTTGCAGAGCTTGCGGTAGACTTGATGTGCCCTGTGTGCTGAATGAGTAAGGCAGCTGGAAATCAGAGTTAGGCAGTATGATGCCATCTGCCTGCAGAAACCCAGATGGTATTTTTTAAATTTTTGAGTAAACATCTTTGAACTATCTTACATTAAAAGTTTATTCACTTTGTTAGAGTTTTAATAATTTTTG